TAAAACACAGAATTCTAGGTCTCACCCCCAGAATTTCTGATTCATTAGGTCAGAGCTCTGGGTCTGAGGATCTGTATCTCCAACAATTTGCCAGGGGGTTACTTGTCTTAATCCATTTGCACTGCTATAAGAGAAGACCATAGACTGGATGACTTATAAACAGTAGAGATTTAGTTTTTACAGTTCTGGAGCCTGGGAAGTCTAATATCAATGTACCAGCAGATTAGATGTCTGGTGGGTTCTCACATGGCAGAAGGGGTGAGAGACCTCTCTAGGCTTTCTTTTATAAGGGCACTAATCCCATTCATGAGTGCTCTGTCCTCATGACCTAATTGCTCCCCAGAGGCCCCTCTCCTAATATGATCACCTTGAGGGTTAGGATTTCTACATGTAAATTTTGGAGGAACACAAACATTCTGTCTGTAGCAATACTGATGCTGCTAGTCTGGGGACTACGATTTGGGAACCACTGCTCTAGATTATTCTAGAAGTGTTGCTCCTTTTATGCTAACCCTGTTTTCCTCCATGAAATATGCTGTCTAAATGCTTGACTTTGTGTTTATGTTTTTACCCTTTTTGCTGTTTTGTTGGAATCTTCACCCAAACTCTAAATTCCTCTGTGCCGAAATTATACCTTCCACACTCTATACTCTCTCATTTTCTGTTTTGTAAGATAATGAGTACATTTCCAGTGTGATTAATAATAGAATAGAAAAGGGGGGAGACTCAGATTACCAACCCCAATAAACAACATCTACAAATAGATATCAGCCCTAGAATTCTCTTAAAAATTAATTATGAGGCAAAAAACATTCCACCATCAGTGACAATGCAGGAAAGAAGATTATCTTCTTGATGACACATTTTGTAAAATGTAGGTTATTCAAGATTTTAGCTGCAACTTACTTAAACACCAACATTTTTTGAAATAAAATACCACAAATAACATTTCAACTCATAATTTTTATAGTGATAGTCAGACAATTGTGTTTCAACATGTAAAATCCATTACACAGTCATGGCAACAGTTTGCAATAGATTGTAAATTTTTATTGGGATGATAATCTTGCGATTGAATTTCAAAATGTATTATGTGATCATCAGCAAACACGTCCATGGGGGCTGCTAAAGTACTTTGAATATCATTTATAAAGATCAAAAACCCTGGAAACCCTTATATTTACCCTGTGGAAAGAGAGAAGTCTCATCAGCAGGATCAAATCAATTATTTTTACGGATGAATATTGCATTGCAAAGCTGAGATAAGGTATTACTCGGTTTAATAACATATCATTATATCCTTTGAAAGTAGTAAGTTCTATAATCAGGTTTCAATGAGGAATTTTACCAAAGGCCTGTTTTGAAAATAGTTTAAGAAAAAGGCATCTCTGTTCATCATAGTGGTTCAATAACCTTCAAAGGAATATTTCCAAGCAACGAAAATACTTGGGTTACAAACCACCGAGAGACACTACTGAGATACTTAACAATGGTTACAGTCAATTCTGCTATAATATTTGTTTTTGAAAATGTGAATTTGTTCCAACACGATTAATAGAGGAAGGAGCAATTTGAGCATAATATGAATTTCATGTTTGCTTGTGTGTGGTTTTGTATGTGAGAAACACTAGTGAAGCCAAAAACTGTACCCAGCTAAACTGAGACACTTAGGGATACCCAAAATGCACACACCTCCAACTCCTACCTGCCTCCTCAGTTCACAATCTGTGTTCTGAGACACATCTATCCACACCTGGTGGTACAATAATATTCCCCCAATTTCAGACAGTATTCCTCCCACTACTTCACAGTCTGTACCCTTTCTGATACCCACTTTCATAGCGAACTTCAGATCTTCTTCAAGGTAACACACCATATCTATCGCAGAACAGGTCGCATAGCCCTTATCCGAAATGCTTGGGACCAGAAATGTTTCAGATTCTGGGTTTTTTAATATTTGAACATACATAATGAAATATCTTAGGGCTAGGATCCAAGTCTAAATATGAAATTCATTCATATTTTATATACATCTTATAAATATAGCTTGAAGGTAATTTTACACAATTTTCAAAATAATTTTTGCATGAAACAAAGCTTGTATATATTGACTATGTAGTCATAATGAAGAATGAAACATATCTTTTGCAGCAACATGGACACAACTGGATTATTTTAAATGAACTAACCCAGAAACAGAAAACCAAATACTACATGTTCTCACTGATAAGTGAGAGCCAAACACTGAGTATGCATGGACATAAAGATGAGAACAACAAACAGTGGGGACACTCCTAAAGGGAGGAGGGAGGAAAGGGGGTAAGACTTGAAAAACTACCTGCTGAGTATCATATTCACTATTTGGGTGATGGGTTCAAAAGAAGCCCAAACCTCACCATCATACAATATGCCCATGTATCAAACCTGTACATGTCTACCCTGAATTTAAAAAGAAAAAAGTTTGTGTACACTGAGCCATCAAAAAGCAAAGGTGTCACTATTTCAGTCACTCATGTGGATAATCTATGATTGTTTGGCATTACCATCATTCCTACCTCTGAATTTAAATGCTATTGATAAACAATAATTTTTTATACTTATTCACACATGAATGCTTAACAGTAAAAAATGTGACATATCACTAATACAGTGAAGAAAGTAATGTGTTCAGGGTCACTAAGCAGTACCAGAACACCTGTTTCTGCTGTTAAACAATAGCAGTAACAAACAAATGGAAGGTTTTCTGTCTAATTACAGGCCTTCTGTCTCCATCTCCAATCCTGTGTTTTGATGAAAGGGTTAGTGTACTCTTTCTCTCTTTCCTTCCTTCCTTCCTTCCTTCCTTCCTTCCTTCCTTCCTTCCTTCCTCCCTCCCTCCCTCCCTCTCTCACTTTCTCCCTCTCTCCCTCTCTCTCTCTCTCTCTCTCTCTCTCTCTTTCTGTCTTTCTTTCTTTCTTTCTTTCTGTGAGAAGACACATCAGAAGCAGGTAAAGGACCAGGAAGAGAGTCCCCTAGAGATGAGGAGGAATTCTGCTGGATGGCTTTTAAAAATGTTTCCTTCAGAGCCATCTGCCTCATTAACAATGGTTTTATCTTAAAAGTTTCTCTTTGATTTTAAAAGCTGACACGATTTCTTGTTCTCTTATGAAAGCACAAGGCTCCAGTCCTTCAGTAAGCCCATCACACATCTCACTATGTCATCTGCAGGCACTTTTTCTGCAAAAAAAAAAAAAAAAAAAGTGATGAAGATGACAATGTTAACAATGTCATCTCCATCACCCACCTGTGGCACCCTGTCAGTGCTTAAAAAGTTTCAGATTTTGGAGTATTTGGGACTTGGATTAGGGATGCTTATCCTGGATTTGTGCATTTCTTAGCCATTTCACATGTATAAAATTGTGTCATTATTTTAGCTAAATTCTTCTCTTTTTTTTAAATGTGTCACTGATGAAGTATAAGTGTGGTCCCCCAACACCATATTTTTCCATAAGCCTTGTGTTTTTATTGCATACCTTGGAATAGTGTGGTGATTTTTAGGGACTTACACATTGTATTATAGCAGAACTGAGTGCACTTTACCTTTTTTTCTGTTCCCTGGTTGCTGCACTAGTAGGTCCTCTCCCCTACCCAGAAGCTGTCAGCAACTCCTTCCTCAGAAGTTCATGCTGTCCCCTTCGATGGAGCCCACACATCCCCAGTGGAGCAGGCCAGCTCTGTGTTCCATTCTAATGGCACTTACCTCTCTCTCTATTTATTCATTACGGTATGACCAAGATCAAGGACTTTCAGTCAGAAAACCTGAGTGAAAATCCTGACTGTGCCACTGGCCATTCTATGACTTTGGACAAAAAGCTTTAAAGTATTGAGGCTCTATTCCTTTATGCATATATGAGATAAAAGTATTTAGAGTGAGTGGTTGCTTAGAGTGAAAAAATGAAATAATATAAATAGCATGATTTTAAAAAAAACAACCCCGCCAAGTTTTTAATTTCTTGAGATGTATTCAGAGCCTGGAACATCTCAGGGATACAGTGAGACACACAGTCCCAGCCAATAGCTCCTTATTAGAAAAGCAGTAAAAGCAGGAGAGTCTCAGAAATACAGTTGAATCTAAAGAATTCCTCCCTTCAGACACAGTCCCAGCCAGCAAACTCTTAAGTGGCAGCCAGGAGCATCAAAGAAACCGTTGGAGCCAGGAGCCCATGGAGATACAGTAGAATCCAGAGGACAATCAGAAGAACAGTCTCAACTCAGACTCTTAGGTAGGAGCCAGGAAGCCCCAGGGGATACAGTCAGGTAGCTCTTGGGGACTAAGGCAGTTACAGAAACAATTTAGAGACACTGTCAGAGCCAGAAGATACTTATGATATAATTGGCACCTGGAGCCCCTCAGAGACAAAACTAGAACAAAAAACGGTCAGGAAAAATTGCCAAAAACAAGGGTCATAAGCCTAGCCCAGGAATCCCCAAGGAAAAAGTTCAAATCAGAAACACCTTAGGGATACAATCAGAACAGGAGGCCCTCAGGATATAGTTTAAATGAGGCCTTCAAGAGACACAGTCAGAGCCAGGAGCCCTCAGAGAAATAGAACCAGGAATCCTCCGAGAAGCAGAGTCAGGAGCCCTCAGAGACACAGAACCAAGAGCCCTCAGAGACATTATTAGCATTAGGAAGCTACAGACATACAAATGGCACCAGGAGTCTTCAGAGAAATAGAACTATGTCCCATCAGACACACTGCCAGGACCAGGGATCTCTCCATGACACAACTAAAGTCAAGTTCTTAGAATCACAGTCAGAGCCAAATGGTCCCCAGAGATGCAACCAGAGCCAGGAAGTCCTCTAAGGAAAGATTAAAGTCTTAACTGCTTTTCTACACAACAGGAAACACCTTTACATTAAAGAAATTTAGGAATGATTTGTCATAGAACCCCAAGAGAAAGACCAGTTATAGCAACAGCATAGTCTCTCAAAATGGAGTCTGAAAGGAGGTTGTTACCTGCACACTTGGTCCTAGTGGTGAGGGGAGGTCCTGGAGGTCCCGTGCCCCCCTCGCCTGGTCGTGTTAGGAGCACCCGGATCTCATACTCTACATCGGGGTCCAGATGCCACAGCTTATAGTTGGGAGAGTCAACTATGTGTGTCTCAGCCCAGGTGCCTGTGGTGGTACGATATTCTACCTCCTTCAGGATGATGGGACCGTCTCCGATGATGGAGTTGGCGTTTGGTTTGATCCACAGGTAGGTGGCCCCCACAGCCAGCAGCTCTGGTGGGGCAATGGGCGTGGGAGGTTCTGTAAGACAAGCAATCAGCAAAGGACTGTCAGACTCAAGCGGTTTACATCACAGAGCAGACTCCATGCATGTGAGGACAAGGGACAGAATTCCAGACATAGCCATAGAAAATAGCCAGAAATCACTTTCTGACTCCGTTAACATCCTACTTTAATTTTTAAGTTTTTATAAGTAAATACCAGAATCAGTATTAATTCAGTAGCTCTATTCAATGCCTACCATATCTCTTTTGTTAAAAAAAAAACAAAAACAAATGAAGAAGGTGATGTGAAGAAATGGGTTTTCTAGAACACGGCAAAGCTGCTGGGTGAACACTCTGTTTTCTAGCCTCAAAGGAAAACCTTTTGTTGAAGTGAAGTTTGGTTCAAAACCTGGAATAGTCTGAGGTTTATAAACGTGCCTTATATAGGAACACATAGATTGGTTAGTGGAAGTTCTTTTCAAATGTGATATGGGCCCAAGTAGAAAAGGGATGATGGCACAGCAAGAATTCAGTTTCTTCCTCAAGTCTGGCATGTTCTTTCCAGCAGAGAGAGTATAATTGGTCACAGTGGAATCAGTGGGAGTGAAGGGTCAAAGGAAAAGTCCTGCTGGATTATCTTGAATGTGCTCTGTACTGCCACTTCTCTTCCATGGAGTTCCACACAGTTAGCTCAGTAGTCTAGAATTTCAGCAGACATCTATCGAGGTCTTTTCCTGCCAGCCATAGCTCATGACAAAGTTGCAAAAATTAACACTAATTTTGTACTTCTTATGTACTTCAAAGTCTCACATGCCCTATGACATGTAATTCTTGGGACAACATAATCACCTTCATTTTGAAGGATAAAAAACTGAGAGCCCAAGTAATCAGGTCACCTAACCAAGGTCATGGAGAGGTAAGGCTGGATATCAACTGTATCTGTAGGCCTTCCCAGACCAGCTCTACTAGTCGAAAACTGTTTGCCTCTTAATGCCCATCTTTTTAAAATCAAACTGGACATGTTTGCTATTTTTATATATAGCAAAAGTAACAATGGAACAATAATAAAGGAAACAAGAAGAAAGAGAAAATATGCCCCCTTTCCTACCACCCAGCATAATAGCCATTTTTATTTCTCCATGTTCCATTCCAAATATTATCTTATAATACTTCAAAGGGTATTTTCATATGCTGTCTTTAATATTTACAGAACAATACATCAGGTAATCTTACTAACTATTCTCCAATGGTTGGACACATGAGTTGTTCCAAGTTTTGCTACAGTAAATAATACCATAATGCACATCTTCATGCAAATGACTTCAGTCCTTCTTGGTCTCCTATTTTCTTAGGACCAACTGCCAGGAATGGGATTATCTGTCAAGGGGCATGAATAAGCTAATGACTATTATTAGAGTATAATAAAAAAGTAGAGAAAGGGGAGGCATTTGGGAGCAGAATACAAGGTGGATTTTTTGTTTGTTTGTTTACGAATGTGTTACTTTTGGAGGACTTCTGGGCTATTCACATGGATAAAGGGCAGGTATAAGTTTTATCTTGGAACTTGGGTAAGGGCTTCGCGATAAAGACGCATTCACCCTTTTCCTTCTAATTAATTACCTAGAAGCAAAGATTCTCCAGAAACAGAATAATTGCTATGAAACAGGGGAGGACAATATTTTCTCAGTGTGACTTGAAGCAAATCTTAAGGGACAACTTCAGATTGCCTCTATTATAGTCTGCCATTTGGTCAGAGAAGGAAATTAAGGAGATTAGTCAAGCTAGATGCTTTTCTTTACAAAGCCATGGAGGTTATTACTCAAGACCTTGTTATCTCAAAGGTGTTTGCAAATTGATTTTCGGATAATTTGTTTCAGGTAGAGAAGTTAGGTTGGCAAGCAGATAATTTCTGGCCTCATCTTTTGTGCATGTTAAATATATAGAAACTTTGATTGCCATTATCAACTCTCCAGAGTTCCCATCAGTCTCCAAGAGGCCCCAAGGGTGGTATTTTGTAACTCTGTGATGACTCTGTCTAATTCCTTAATATAATTATTCACAGACTGGACCTGGACAGAATTAAGAGCAGTAGATTTCAATATTTTGGGCACTCTATGAGTGGCTACATTATGCTCACCACTTCCATAGACTTTTCATCATGGTTTTCCACTCTCCTATTTCAGGCATTAGCAGTTTTCAATGCTAACCACCAGAAAGAAAATGAAGTATTATTCTTTCCAAATGTTTGGCTTATTTTCATGTATTTCTTATGGCATACACAAGCATAGTAACAACATCCCCTCGAGTATATACATGTCCCTATCTCAAATGACTCATATTCCTTTGTGCAGATTAGCCATGTGGTTATCTCTCCCTCCATTCCCTCAAGAGTATACCATACAAGTTTATCATAGTGCTTTCTGTATCTGGCATCAAGAAGCCATCAGATTATTGTGTTGTTCTTTCTTTTTTAGTGTTCCATTGATTCACAATTGGCATTCTTTAAAAGGTACAGGTACTCAGGGTTTAAAGAGACAAAACCAGGAATATAACACATTTTTTTGGTAAGCAACCCATTACCTTTTAAATATACAAAAACAGCCGGGCTCGGTGGCTCAGCCTGTAATCCCACGCCTTTGGGAAGCTGAGGTGAGTGGATTGCCTGAACCTGCGGGTTCAAGACCCGCCTGGGCAGTGAGACCTCATCTCTACAATAAATCAAAAAATCAGCCGAGCGTGGTAGCGCGTGCCTGTAATTCCGGCTACTTGGAAGGCTGAGGCGGAAGGATCGCGCAAGTATCGCTGGAGCCCAGCAGGTCAAGGCTGCAGTGACCGGAAGCGGCCACTGCACTCCAGTCTGAGCGACAGAGTGAGACTCCAACTCAAAAAAATAAAAATAAATATATATATACAAAAACACGTTTATTTGTGTAAGTCCTCCTCCATCTCTGGGGTGAATTCAACAATATGGTTCAAGAAATGTAGGGGGCCATCCAATCCAACCACTAGAGTCATTAGGAAGGAAACGAAGGCCCAGGAAGAGATCATGACATTCATGCCAGAAGGGATGGGGATGGAGCACTAGTGGACCAGGTGCCATTCCTACCTCACCTCTCTCCTCTTGTACTTGAGATGTGTATGTAATTAGCCCAAAAGGCCATTAGGGGACATCTATACCAGTACTTTTTAACACTGGAGGACACATAAGATCTGAAAACCTGGTGAAAATTTTCTAGATTCTCTTCCCAGGAATGTACACATGAATATATTACCTAGAGTTTTACACATCATTTCAGGAATTCATGTACCCTTTAGAAACTCACGCATGAACTCCGAAGGGTTTATGCTGAGAATAAAGGAAGTGCACATACAATCCACTGACTGACCACATGCCTATATCTTACTCTTCTTTGCAACACTGAAGCTACCCTTTGATATAGAGGTTAGAAGTAGGGAGTACAGCCATGTAAGGGAATGAACCAATGTTGAACTCACAGATTTAGTACTTCGAGTTCCATAGTTTCAAACTTCTGGATGAAAATAAACATGCTATTTCTGGCAAGATGGTGACAGAACTGGTCAGACTCTCTGCATGAGTGGGTGTGTGCCAGCGGGTGAGTGAAAGTCCATGTGAGGGGAGACTCAGGTTCATGCACCCAGGGTTCTCTGAAGTGAATGTAACTCCCCACCACCCTGAGACTGGAGACCCCATTGTGCAGTATCATCTGCTATTCTTGGGGTTCTCCTGAGAAAAGGCAGTGGAAACACTGACCAGCATTATTTTCTCTGTCCCAGGACAGGCAGAGACCTGCATTGCCCAGCCCAGCTCTGTCCAGCCCCCAGCCTGGGACCTAGAGGTTATTTCCTCATCAAACCCAGAAAGAGAGATGCCCCTTCCCCATGCTAGAACAGGCACAGACACATCAGACCTGAGTGGGAGACTTAATAGCAGCAGCAGCAAGCTAGGTGAGTCAAGATCTGATCCACCTTCCTTCCACAGTAGTCCCTGGGGCATCTTACCCATGCTGAGAGCAGCCCTATCAACCTGCACTGAGAGCCAAGGGGAGGGGCTAAAGACCAGAGCTGAAAAGAAGTTGGAGTTACAGGAACAACCTCAGAGCAAATTTTGGGGGTTTGTTTTGCTTGCTTTTTTGTTTGTTGTTTTAGTTTTTTACTCTTCTCTCTTTCTGTTTTTGATTACATTTTCACCCTTGCTTTGTTTCTGTTATTTTAATGCTCTTTTTTTCAGATTTCCTGTTTGTGTACAAGTAATTTTGAAGGAGAGTTCACCAAGAGGGGGGTGAGGGTTGTCAGTTTGTGTGTTTGCATGTTTATTTGTATGCTTTTGTTATTTTTATCTTTTCTTTGTGTCTCTTTTCATTTGATAATTGGTATGTCTGTCTGTATTCCTTCTTCTTCCTCCTCTCTCTCCACCTTTCTCTTGTCCTCTTCTTTCCTTCTTCCATTCTTTTCCTTTTTCTTACCTCATTTTTCTTTCAGGAGGCAAACCTAAACACTCACTGCATGGACAGACCGTAAGGCAGTGGGAAGTGGGTTCCAGGGGGCCCACACATCTGTCAGCAGATACTGGGAACTGCAGATAGTTTCTGAATGACAGCTCCCCACTCAATTAAATCTCAAAACTGCAAAAAGTACAGCCTCCCACCCACAGTCCAGCTTCAGAACTGAACAAAGCCAGAGGATCTACATAAGGAAGAATACGAGATTGAGAAAACAGAAGTAAAAGCTATCCCCCATCCTGAAAAACAAAATTAAAGAAGAGGTTAAAAAGGGGGAGGAAAATCTACACAAATGAATAAAACCAAAAGAAGAATATCAGTTTCACACAGACCCCTGGGAGGTCAACCACTGAGAATACAGACTTCAGAACACAAACAATGAAGAGCTCCCAGAATGACTGGTCTCAAAACACAAACCCAGATATCAAGATATTAATAGAGAGAATAAATAGAAATGAGGAGAGACAAGAAGAAAGATTGAAGGAGTTGATAACTGAAATAACAGCAATAAAGAATG